CGGAGGTCCCCTGACCTCGCCCCTGCAATACCGTCTGGCTCGCAGATCTGCCCCTCCCATTCTTATCGAGCTTGTTGCCGCCGCCGAGGACCTCGCCGCCGGAGAAGGCCTCCAAGTCAGAGGCGGTGCCGCCCTACCGGGGGCGCCGCGGATGCGACCCTGTCACGGGGCGGGCGAGGGGGGGGGGCAGGTAGGCAGAAGAAAGACAAGAGGTGTCAGTACAGCAGAAGATCGGGCTTCATGGGCACGACTGAAAGCCGTATGGCGTGCGCTCAATGATTACGCCACGAGCTCTAGGGTTACACATGGGGGACAGGGAGGCTTTGCGACGCTAGCAGAACCGTTCCTAATCTCGTCACCTCGCTTGAGCAAGCCGTTGTTCACAGAGAAAAAGATAAAAAAAATAACGTCGCCGGCCAGACGGCCAGGTGCTGATGGTGCGGCTGGGTGTTGCACCAGAGTCGACCACACGTTGGCACACGGCGCCAATGGCGTACTGCGCGCGTGCTACGGTATGCACCCCCCCAGCGTCGCCTCGAGAATCAGCCGATGGGGTACATGATGTTCGGATTCGTGAAGGGGTCTCATCGCGTGCGTTTTCCAGGAGTTCGTGCCCAGCTAGATGCATTTGTTCCACCTCTCACCGGCGGTAGATTGGCTAAGGATAAGGGCGAGGGACGACTCCTTTCCCTTGGGGGCGTAGGCGACGACTTCCTGCGGATGGAGTTGGGCTTGGGGCCTGACTTGGACTTGAGGCTGTAGTGGCAGAACTGGTTATCTCTGTCGCACCTGTAAAAAGGAGAACGAACAAACACGCACAATACGATAAAGAACTGCGTGAAAACCAAGACCAAACGAAAAAGGGAAATACCACAAAAAAAAAATGAGGGCTCTCGCGCGATAGCTGGTAGTTATCGGTAGTTCCGGGACAGAGCGAGAGAACAAGGGTAAATTAGAGAACAAACGATAGAGAAGAAGGGGGGGGGGGGGGGGGGGGTGATGACAAGTGAAAGGGGGGGGCCCCCATGGGCACGGCGTGGGGTCATCCCCCTCCCCGTGGCTCCCCCGCAACATTTGGGAAAGGGTGGTACCCAAATTTTTGTTGACCCCCCCGGGGGACCCCACACCTAAAACCACCGTTTTCGAACTGCATCATTGGGAATTTCCCGGCCCTCATACATGGGCCCGTGCGCCGGCTCGGCCAGTTTTATTGGACCCCCCCCGGGCGTAAAAAGCAGTGAAAAAAAACCAAAAAGGGAGAAAAAAACTACACAGAAAGAGGAAGCCAGAGAAATAGAAAAGGAAGGGAAAAGGGGAGCGCCCCGGCGAAGGACCAAATT